AAAGCTGGACAGTGAATAAGGAAGACCGCAGAAAAATTGATGCTTTTGAGTTATGGTGTTGGAGTAGAATATTGAAAGTGCCATGGGCTGCCAAAAGAACCAATAGATACATTTTGGAAGAAGTACAGCCAGAGGAGGCCAAGATGGCCAAACTTCGTCTCTCCTACTTTGGATATAGTGTCAGAAGGGACCAGTAACTGGAGAAGGATATCATGTTTGGTAAGATGGAGGGTCAGAGAAAAAGAGGAAGACCCCCAACGAGATGGATTGGGCAAGTGGCAGCATCGATGGACTCAAGTGTGGCAACAGTAGTGAGGTTGGCCTAGGATCTGGCAGTGTTTCGTTTTGCTGTGCATAAGTTTGCTATGAGTCGGTACCAACTTAATGGCACCTAACAACAACAACAACTTTAAATGAGTCTTTTGCAGCAGATTTATCCAATGCAATTCATTGTGATTTCTTGACTGCTTCTGCATGAGCATTGATTATGGAGTCAAGCAAAATATCTTTGACAATTTCAATCTTTGCTCCATTTATCATGATTTTATTTACTGGTCCAGTTGTGAGGATTTGTGTTATCTTTGCATTGAGGTGCAATCCATATTGAAGGCTTTGATCTTCATCAGAAAATATTTCAAGTCCTCTTCACTTCCAGTAAGGAAGATTGTGTCATTTGCATATTTCAGATTCTTACCGAGTCTTCCTCCCAAACTGATGCCACGTTTTCCTTCATACAATCTTCTTCATATAATTCATCTTTCCAGTTTATTTGCTCAGCAAATGATTGAATAAGTGTGGTGAGTAAGTGTGAATTCCTATGTTAATAGTTTCCTCTTCTGTCAAGGTATTGCAATGCATTTTCTTAAGTGAATAGGTTGGGAGAAGGAGTAGAGGAAATTTTTTTAAATATTTTAATCACATAGTTTTCATTTTAAATATTCTAAAGGTTTTTTTTTCATATGTTGACTCTGGTATTTTAAACCCTTCTCACAAGGAGGAATTTAGAAATGACAAAAACATGGTTTCTTTTCAAATATTTAACTTCTTCTGTCCTCCCTTAACACATTGCGCATACCTCAATTTTACATGTTCACATATTGGTTTGTTTTGTGTTCACATGTCTTTCTCTAATCCTCCCAAATACGGGTTTATATTGTATATATCATTGGTCACCAGCATAGAGGCTGGAATATAGGAAACATTAAATAAATGTGAATGAATAATTACATAATTAAGATTGGAAGCTACATTTATTAAGTGGGAAATTCATTCAGTTTCAGGAAATTAAATGAAAAGCTAAAGAGAGAATAAGTCATCAAACTAGCCATGCTACTGCATTAAAGTGCTCACTATTGCATGATACAATGATCCATTTTAAGGCTGCAATAAGAAAAAACTATCTTTCATTTTATTAAGATAGTTTGCTCCATCTCTAATAGTGCTTTTATTTTGGTTAAGATCTTGTTGGCCTCAGGAAATATTTCTGTTTTCTTTTGAAAAGACTAAATCTGTTGGTTAAGACTCTTCATGTTTTTC